TGCCTGGGGTGACAGGCCGCGGTCTGCACCTGCACCCCCTGGTTCCCAAAAAGGTGGCAGCTGTTGGACCGGGGGCAGAGGCCATAGGTGCGGGTGGCCCTCGTTGCTTTCAGGCTTCTCGCTCGGGTGAAGAAGTGAGAGTAAATTACCCGTCACATCGCAAGCGTTCAGGCAGGCGTGCGTGCCTGTGCTCTGAATGCTCTTAGCGGTTGCGCAGGGCTGTAGTGGCACCGACACCACAGCTTCTGCTCGTGCGGAAGAGTGTGTACAGGAAGACCTTTAATAATAACGTGGTGGGTTGGGGAGATGGGGATGCAGGGGCAGGATTGATTTCAGTTTACTGAAGGGGAACTAAGCTTTTGTACGATAGAGGGAGAGCTATGTTAGAAATAGATGCTGCTTTAGGGCTTTTCAATGCCTGAAGAGCTGTTTGACCTTAATATGGATGTGAATGTAATGGGCAATGCCCATTTTTAACTAATGCATGAATGGACATGCATATTCTGCAGCAATTTCTTTAAGTTGATCTGGTTCCAAACTGAGCTAAAAGATGTTGATAATAGTCCTGACTATTTTATTTTTTTTAAGCACCAGAGTTTGTGGAAGCATCTAGTTGCACCAGTATAAACCAGTGGATTCCCTTTAAGGTTTCTGGTGGTGTGATGAACAGCAGCATTCAGTCTCCTGTTGCTGCCCAGTCCACCACTGCAGCAGTCTGTCCCCTGAACCACAGTCTATCAAACTGAGACCTGGTCCTTTTTCAGTTAGGATCACAAGTTGTGGCTAGAACCTTGGTATGATACCAATGGGTATATTTAGTACCTCTAAACACATTTCACTAAGTTGTCTTTAATTTCCACCTCTCTCCTTTTTCTTTGCAGGCCATGATAAAATCCTACAGTGCCGTTTTGAGTGGGTGAAGTGAAGGGGGGAAAAAGGGGAATAAAAAAAAATGCCCAAGCAAACAGCAGTGACGATTACTTTGGCGACCCTGCTGGGTATTGCAGTGGGGGGCCTGGTTTTGTGGAAAGCAACGCAGCGTCGGAAAGGAAAAGCATGCTGTAGTAGTCAGCAAGAGAAAGCAGTTATAAACTCGAGAGATGAAAAACTGATTAAGGCAGAGGATAAGGAGGTGCTTTCCTTCTTCAGATCTCCCACCTTTTCCTGGGTAGAGAGGACCCTTGGTGCAGACATAGTGATAGTTTCAGAGCAGGAGGAGTGGGATCGTGTTGAACCTTTGCTGAAAAAGGAGCTGGAGAAGCGGCCGGTGCTTGGAATTGATTGTGAGTGGGTGAGTGATCAAGAAGCTCTCTCCTTTAGGTTGGAAATTCCAATGGGAAATTATCTGGGGAGGAGCGATTCCTTTCATTGAACAACAGAACTGACTGTTTAAACTGCCTGTGTGATTATCTGTCATGACAGCAGTGAATTAGCTGCTAATTTTGATTGTTCTCACATTTAAGTGTGCTGACTGCAAGTTTTTAATTCACTAGTTCTATTCATTTGCTGAAGTCCTGTGGTAAATGGACTATATTAAATGTAGTGATAATTGTATGGCTAAAATACAGCATTATACGTTTTGTATAATATCTCTTTAAAGCTACTAGAAGTAGCTTGGGTTTACACCATTTTAAATCCAGCTACATAGTTAAGAAACAATTTCGTAAGAATAATAAACTCAAAAAGGAGGATAATACTGATGTGTAGATATAACTCACTGGGACTTCCAGAAAACAAAGATTCTCTTCCGTTGGTACATTTGCTGTGTGAACTCTCAAAACAGGCTTTGAGTCATATATAAAGCCTGGCTTTGCCATTATTTTGGCTGGAAATTTATTCACCCCACAGTCATTAGTATAAGCCACGGTTAAACAATGTGTTTGCCATAAGCATTTATGTAGTGTGTGGCTTTGTACGGATGTGGATTAAGAAATGTGTCTGATTTCTTCTACCAGCTCAGCTATGGGGGGGGGAAGGGTGAAAGGGGGAAAGTTTCTCTTGTAGGAGTGTGGCAAGAAGTAGCTGAGGGACAGTAATACTGTGAAACAGATCACATAATTTACAGTAAAATTTGAGAGGTGATACTTGACTGTATAAACTGATAGATCTTTCCTGTCTTCAGTGGCCTCTTTTGCAATTTGTTCCAGCCCCAGTACTGCTAAGAGTACTGTAACCCAGACTCTGACTTTTGTCTTCGTTTCAGGTTTCTGTGGAGGGAAGAGCAAATCCTGTATCCCTTCTACAGATGGCTTCTTCCAGTGGCCTCTGCATTCTTGTTCGGTTGCCCAGGCTTGTTGCCAGTGGACAGACTATTCCAAAGACCCTGTTGGACATCATGGCAGATAGCGCTGTGTTGAAAGTTGGGGTAGGATGCTGGGAAGATGCTTGCAAGTTACTTCATGATTATGGTTTTCCAGTCAAAGGGAATGTGGATCTCCGGTATTTAGCCATGAGACAGCGGTGAGTTTCTGAAACCAAACGCAGCTCTTTTTGAGGCATCATTTGAGTTGGGAATATTTTTAAAGTAATTTGTGTATGCTGAATGATACCAGGCAGGTAGGTCTGGAGTTCTCACAGTGGTTTTAGGGCATGAGCATTGACATCTGCAGCCCGAGAACATGTCATGCTTCTATTCTGTGGTCTTAATCAAAATTAAATCCTCATGAAGATTTCATATGCTAATTGTGTCTGTTAGTCTTCTTGTGCAATACCCATGTGGACTTTTCTGAGTATCATGCTTCAGCTGGTAAGAAGTCCAGGCATAGTGATATAACACAGTGAGTGTGATCACCATGTCAACAGATGTTTGAATACACTGCCTAGAAGTATGGGGTAAATGGGCCAGGGGCACGTAAGTGGAACTATCGAATTACAGGATTTCTTGAAAAGTAGCTAAAATAAACCAGCTCAATTTTTTTCTTCTAATAACAATGCTTCCATTAAAAGGCTACAATTATGATGTCATTTTCTCACCCTTCGTTCTTCCTAAGATAAAAAATTTTACTTGCAAATATTCTTCACGTACAGTATATGCATGCCTGGGTGTGTTGTTAGTGATCTGGGGCATGAGTTTGCTGACCTGATGGTGCCTTTTAGCAGTGAGGATGGACTTCTTGTCTGTAGTGGCCAGGATTCCTCCAAGCCATTCCTGGCCCTTGTGCTCCTCATGAATCCCTGGAGCAGGCGGTCCATCGCTCTATGATAGACCTCTTCAGTTCAGAAGTGGGTAGTTCAGAGCCAAAGGCTTCAGCCTTAAATGTTACCAACCCCTAGACTTGCCTGTTCTGGATATTGCAAGCTCTAGATAATTACTAAATCTAGAAAGGACATTTTAGCGGAGGGGAGGGAGAGGGCCTGTAAAGCTGACAGATAGCTGCTTGCTGTTTGAGTGGGAGTCATGCATTATGTGCATTGTGTTCTGGCAAGTTCAGGGTGTATGAGGCCATCCGAATTTGCATGGGTGTATAGTTTCGTTTTTAATATGTTTGTTTCACTTTCTTTGTTAAACTGAAGGAAGGATCTACTTCACAACTGCCTTAGCCTTAAGTCTTTAGCTGAAAAAGTCCTGAACTGCCAGCTTGACAAGTCTCCTCATGTGCGTTGCAGCAACTGGGAGGCAGAAGAACTGACACAAGATCAGGTGTGTCTTCCACTTCAACTTAGTATTTTGGGAGGAAAAGTGACCTTCTTAGTAGAGAAGAGGCATTACAACAGGGAGTTCTGAGCCTGCTTCAAGTTCTGCCTCAAAACCTTATGTGTGACTGTGGTCTGAAGTTAATTTCAAATTCTGTGCCTGCGTTTCCCTCCTCTTCCATGAAGATAATTTTCTGCTGTTCTCCCTGGATTCTTGACCCTTGTTTTCCTTTAGTCCTGAAAGATCTATAAGGCAGGATCCCTTGAAGAAGTGTTTGTGCACCCAAAACCTCACCTTTTTATTATTTTCTTTCCTCCAATCTATAGCAGTCAGTGCAATATTAAAGAGAGACCCTGGAAACCATGTTCACCATCTTTAGACCATTATGGTTTCCCTCATTGCTCACTTTCTTTTCAGTCATCGTGCAGATGTCTACAAAATCAGTGACCGGTAGAGGGAGTGACAGGATAAATAACCATACTGAATATTGGTAGACAGTGTGTCAAAAGTGAGCTTTTTTTTTTAATTAGGGAGGGCTTGGTGGGACAGGAGGGTGTTTGAGGCCTGGCTGACCTGAAATTTTTTCAGTCCCTTGCAGTTCCTGGGGGCACGCATGAGTATTTCAGGTCTGACTGACCCTAAAAATCTGGGGTGTGGTGATGTTATGAAAGTGTCACTCAACATGCCAGAACTTTGCATGAACTTCAAAAGGAAATAAATCCACCTTCTGGCTTTACTGTACCTAATGTTAACCACAGATAATGTTTGGGAGTGTTTGCTGTTTGTCAGTATCTCAATACCTATACTTTTCTGCAGGTTCTCTATGCTGCAAGGGATGCCCAGGTCTCCGTGGCTCTGTTCCTCCATTTGTTGGGATTTGCCAACCTCCCTGCTACATCTGAAGGTGAAAACTCTGTCGCTGCTTGGGAAAAAGCACTGGGTAAATGCCGGGGCTTGGTGGATATCCCGTTTAGAGGAAGGAGGAGTGGCAGCACAGGAGAGAAGAGTGGGGAGGGACGCTCCCCTCAGAAAACAAAGAATCGGAAATCTTCGGTGAACGGCCAGCCCTCTGTCAGTCAGCAAATGAGAGATCCACGGAGGCAGAAGCGAAAGCCTCTGGGCGTGGGATATTCTGCAAGGTAAGTCTGTGAGAACGTTTTACTCCTTGTGCCACAGATGGAAAACTTTAAATGATGCCTCATGTTCCGCTCATTAAACCAAATGGCTAATATGAGCTAGGAAAGGAAACACGGGACCCAACAGTTGTGGGAGCCAAATCCTCTTTCTGTTTTCCCCATTTCCTTCTAGGTGATACTGAAAGTGGGGGCAGCGTTCAGTCATGAGCAGGTTGAGGGGGCTGTCTTCAGCTTTTGCCCTTCCTTCTCTTATGGAGGCATTAGCTGGAGAGCAGAGTCCCAGCAGGAGGCAGTTCACTGTCCAGGTGGCATTTACTGCCCCAACAGCTGTGCCCTGTTGCCTCCAGGGAAAAGGTGGCAACTGCATAGAACTTGTCCTGTGAGCAGGATCTGCCTCGTGGACTGCTGTTTGTACTGTGCTGCCCAGGTCACTGTGGGCACAGAGGTGTCAGGGTATGGAGCAGAACTGAAAGCTAAGGTTAGGAGGGATGAGAGAGGTTATGTGAGGTGCCAGAGGGCACAGGAAGGAACAGTCTGTGGCAGCATCAAAGCACTGCACTTCTGTGTTGGCTAGGGAGAGAGAGGAGGGAATGGTACTACTTTGACCTTGCAGGGGCAGCTGTTGCTGGATTAAGGATACCTGAATTCCCCTGTCCCACAGGTGATTTTTGTGGAGCAAATCCTAAATTCTTACAGCCTTTTGCTAATGAAAGTTCAGTTGTTTTTAAATTAAAACAAGTTGGAGAAGCCTCTTTAAGCTCAATGCAGTGGAAGATGTGGAGAGCTAGTATGTTTGGTTTTGTTTGGATACAATCTAATAAAATTAATCACATGGATGTAGGAACTAAAATTGTCTGCAATTACCATTTGGAAAGAAAACCAGTCATTTTAGTATTTGTTGTCTCCTTTTCAAGTTTATTGGATTGGCAATGAAGGCATTTTAATGCAGTCAATAATACTGATTTCATTAGCAGTCATTAATGGTATTGTGTTTTACCCAGCAAGTGCCTTCAGATATTTTTTTTTTTCAGTTGGAGCCTGTGTCACACAAAACAGAAGGACAGCATCTCAAGGGAGGATTAAAATTTAAACAAAATTGCATTCCAAGCTCAATTGAGATCTCCCCATGTTTGTTTGTTTGTTTATTTATTGTTTTTAACCATGCTTGACTTCATGAGAGATCTGTAGACTCACTGTTTTTTTACAGTATCTCCAGCAGTTTGGCTCTGGTCTGTAGTAAGACCGGATGCAATTTCAAAAGTCCTTTTCCACTCTCCTTTCTTTAAGCCTGTTTAGTTTTAATGTTTATTCATTTAGAGTTGGGAAGTACTCAAATTATTGTGGTGATTGAGCTGAACTGCTGATGCTGAGTGGAAGGAAGCCTCCTGTATCATTAGTTTTGTTGGGTTTTTTTTCCCCCCATGGACCTAGAAAGAAATCCTTTCGTCAGATTATATAGCCTGTGAATTAACCTTTTTAGAACATAGAGCTCTGCTGAGTATTTATTTATATGATGTACTGGAAAGAAAGGAAACTTTTCCACAGTGTATTGACATGTCTATCCCTGGCCGGTTCCTCCCACGTGCTCCCCAAGCCCAGCCTGTTCTGCTCTTCAGTTTTCCTTGAAGGAGGTTGGCAGAGTAAGGAAGCGTTTTCCTGCAAAGCAGAGCCCCTCCACACACTGCCACAAACCACCAGACACCGCTCAGGCAGGACTTTTCCCCACTGACTAAGGTTAGGTGCCTGTGCTTTAGAGGGCCTCAGCTCAGCTTCATTGTTCCCCTGGACTCATGTGTTTGGGTTCCCAGTGCTCCAAGAGTTTTTTTGTAGTAGTTCTCTTGGATGACTGAAGTAATTGCCGTTCACACTGAGTTTTAGAGAAGTCATCTTAATAAAACATTGTCATGGTTTTACCCCAGCCGGCCGCTGA